TATTTATAAATAAATATTTATAAATATAAATATATAAATATAAATAAATATATAAATATTATTTTTTAATATCGAAAAATTCGGATTTGTTCACTTAACTTGTTACTGTCGTTTCGTATGTTGTATCTTTCAGTATTTTATGTTGTATTCGTTAATTTAGAAGACGCGATCACAAGTCTTGTAAGGACACCACAGGTAGAAACAATGAGCCTGTCTCAAGCATGATAGCCTGATGGGATACATCACTCTTCGGTGAGATTATGAATTTAGAATTTATTTTGATAATCCTTGACCTAATAATTTTCTGTTTTTTAAATGTTTTTTTTTCATTGTAAATATCACCATGGGCAATGGTACCCTGGCCATTCAGTATTCTGCAGTAATGAGGGTGGGGCAGGAAATGTGTTGGATAGGCGAGCAGAGACTCCAAAAGAGGCGACCGTACAGTATATTTAGCCTGGAAGCCATATTGTTTCAGATGGCTGGGCAGAAGAGACTGGAAAATGATCAGTTCTTTCTACTGTCATGATGAACGGCTGTACTCTCAATGAGGCTCCTTGCCTTGAACATCTACTGGGATACAATCTCGCTCCAGACCTCAAAAGGAACTCGTATATATGATCCATCGGTGAAGAGACTGGAAAATGGTCGGTTCTTTCTACTGTCATGATGAACGGTTGTACTCTTGGGTGTCAATTGGGACTCAAACTCATTCCAGACCTCAAAAGGAACACATATATACGGTCTATTGACGCAGAGGCCGGAAATTGGTCGATTCTTTCTCCTATCATGATGAACAGTTGTACTCTCAATGAGTCTTCTCGCCTTGGACGTCTATTGGGACATAATCTCATTCCAGACCTCAAGGGGAATTCATATATATTTGATCCATCGTTAAGGAGGTTCTCCTCTCATCATGAACGATTGTAATCTGCATAGTGCTCCTTGCCTTGGGTGTCAGTTGGAACTCAATCTTACTCCAGACCTCAAATTAAACATATAAACGATCCATCGCTAAAAACACTTGAAAAATTGTCGGCTCTTTGTACTGCACCAGGAAGTATCTGACTCCTCCTGCCATGCTCTAACTCAACAAAAGACAGATCAAACCAAATATATTGCTACTATACATGGGTCCGAGCTGCCCAATTCTCTCTTTCAAGCCTTTACCGTGTTCGCGTGACCTTCTAGATGATTAATTTTTCCAACCAAGGACTGTTGTAATGTGGTAAAAACTCCCGAGTGGATACTTCCGTGATCAGAACAAACTTAACCTCTTCAAATTATTATTTTATTTTAATATGATTAGTTATGTATTTATTTATTTAAGGTGAGTTAAACGTTTTCTTTTAATTTTCTATTCTTATATGTGATGGCCCGGGAAAGGGATATTTCTTTTAAGATTTGTAAAAATCCAGTATGTAAGTTAATGTTTTGGAAAGAATCGATAACTGCACTCTCAAGAAGTTTCCATCTATTTTTATCTTTTACTAAGTATTAATCATTATCTGTTCTACATATCCTCATAATATACAATCCTTGCTCCCTCGCTTTCCGATCTTACAGCATCCACATTAAATAATCCTGCACCTTGTGTAGCACTTAGATCTTGTACTGAATTAAAAATAGTAAAAGAAAAAGTTACCTCTTACTTAAGTAAAGCTAGGATAACTAGTAGCATCTGCCATGATAAATCTTTAAGAGTAAGTACCGAAATTCTGCTAAGTGTTAGTGTCAAACGAGCACGGAGAATACAAGATTTTACATTTGAATCGTGTGCATTGCCAATTGTAAAGCTTGACGAAATACAAGCGTAATAATGATGCCATTTGTTTTTATTTCCGGTTGGTAACAGTCAGTAGGCGTAATGTGTAAGCTGTAATTGTGAGTACATTTTTTTTTGTATTTCTTTAAGGCATAGGCTACCAGAAATCGCTTCAATGTGTCTATCGGAACCTTTCCCAATCAAACCAATGGCTTCAACTACAAATGGAATTATTGATTTCCTCATGTGCCACATTTTTGAGATTCCCACTTCAAGATCCTTGTATTTTGATAGTTCTTTGAAGATCTTTAAAGATACATAACAATCTGCACGGATTGCCATGTCAATAAGAAGGCACATTCTGTTCTTGTGGTTCTTGAACACGATGTCTAGGCGATTAACTTCGATTGTTCTGTCTACGTGTATTATAAAGTCCCATAAAATTATTACAGGTCTTATCTCTGTAACCGGGTTTAGGTGAAGTTCATACCAGTTTCTTGCAATTTCTCTCTCGTAAAAGTTGCATATTTTCCAGTGCAGATATTGTCCCACTCTATCATGCCGAATTTTATTCAGTTGGTGCTAAAACTGTGCAACCTGCTTGGTAATTTTTGATCAGAAAAATTGATATTAAATTAGTTTTTTATGATTTCAAGGTTTTGTTTAATAAGCTGTAATAACATTTTTATTTCTTGAATTAACTTCATTTTTACGCGTTCTTAAAATCAAAATGTTTTTGCTCGTTCATTTTCTCGTTGTCTTTTGCATAACCTGTAAAGGTCTTTACTTGCTTTATTACATAGTCTATGTTTTGTTAATTTATTTTTGAAACTTATTTGTACAGTGTAACCCGGATATAAGAGACCCGGATATAAGAGAGATTTTCTCTGGTCCAAAATTAGAGCCTGTGTTAATGTATATAAAATAGACCAAACCCGGATATAAGAGACTTCTTCTCCCGTCCCGACAACTCTCTTACATCCGGGTTACACTGTATATTTAACTACCTCTAGGACAAGGGTTCACAAAAAAGAAGGATTTCTCCCTAGGGGTGATTTCAGGGTTTCAGTGGGGGGAGGAAAAAAACTTTTACTTTTTCTTGGTTTTTATTTATAGAATTCTTTTTATTGAATTACAATAACACCCTGCCATTGTGTTGAACTTTTTGTTTATTGAAGTCTGCTTCACTTTATTTAATAATTAGTATGTATTAAACTAAATTACTGTACATGTATTCAAGTTTTAAAATTCTTCAAAATTGTCTATTACTATTAAATTTACAAAACACCTCTATATATTATGAAATGGACAAAGTCCGACAATTATTTTAATATATTTATTTTTATATGTTATTTTTAATGATACAAATATTTAAGTAAATGCTCTGTTTATAATAAACAGTATTAACAACATTTACCGGACACTGAAGCCAGTAAATGTTGTTAATACTTTTTATTATAAACAGAAAATTTACTTAAATGTTTGTATCTATATAAATAACGTATAAACAACACATATATTAAAACTCCTCTCTAAAAATAATCCATGTAAATGTATACATACTAATATGGAAAAGAATAAAGATTTTCAACAATATGTGCAAATATCTTGGAATGCACCTTTTGAATCAAACAATCTTGGAATGTGGGTGGGGACAGACATTCTGATTCGTGTCGAAAAAGGTGCATAGGGCAAAAAAAGGTTCAGAACTACTGTTCTGGAAGAATATAAACTTTATATATCAAACTAAGAGTAGTTAATTAAATGACAAGATAGGGAACATCCTATGCTACACGTTTCGTCCTTCGAAAGGACTTCTTCAGACTAAGTAATATTTTTTATCAATGCCATTACGTATATGTAATCGACGAGGTTAATATTTCGTTCTTTCCTCTACATATATATTATTTCTATCGATAAAAAATGTTATTTAATTTCAATGTTATTTGTGTGTGGATCGGCCTGGGATCAATGTCGTATTTGAACAGTCTGCCACAACCTAATCTGTTCATATCAGAAAGATATCTCTGCGTTCCGCCTAACTTACTATTAATGAGTTATTTTCTCAGATCGTTGGTTAAAGATGATTTCGAGAGAATGAAGCTTGTAGGTCATAGTGAGGATCACCCTTCTTCGTACCTCGTGTACTGGCATTGCAGGATATCAGATGCACACTATTTACATTATTCAGACTATTGTCCTCATCTTTGTTGCCATATTTATCACAACGTTTCGGCCGTTGTACGCTCCGACCTTCTTCAGGCGGTTAGAATGTCGAACTGAACCCTTTATTTCGCTCGCTGGAGTAGACTGTTCTAGTTCCACGTGCCACGTGTAATGGATGTCAGTTATCAGTTATCTCCTGTTAATTCACCTCTCCAAGTTTTCCACTGCCTTATTGTTATAGTGGAACACGGGGTACCCCGTGGCGGTGTAATGGTTATCAAGCGTGTCTCGCTAGAACAATTACGCCTGAGTAGTGAGTTCGTTCCTCGTTGGGTGCCCCATACTTTCGGCCTTGTGCCACATCTAAGCTACGCTTGGAAAATCACTAGTGGAACACACCTATTCTATAGTTTATAGACTCTCCCACCTATAATAAGTAGGAGTAGTAAGAGTAACGAGGAGTCGCTCAGTGGGTCGGACTGAGTTCAGTCTGAAGTTGAACTCTCTGCCTTCGGGCGGAGAGGAACCCGAACGAGGCTACGCCAAAGGTCGGAGTCTCTTTCGGGGAGGTAAACCGACCCTGAACCCGTTTATACGGGTTTTAAAAGGGCATATTTTTGGCCGAGCCCACGGGCTCGGCGATCCCACGGGCTCGGCGATCCCACGTTAAACCGGCCTTGTGCCACATGATGCCCTCGTGGGGGGGGGTAACTGAATATCGCTCAGTGGGTCGGTCGCTCAGTCGATGCCGGACGACCGTTAGTCGGATACTAAAGTATCAGCGACCACAACTAGATTACTCTGCGTCATACCTATTATATCAAGTTCCTAACGTTTTGTACGTCGAACCTATTTTAGGACCGACTTAGTACAAATACAAGCCTCCACTGTGAAACCACTCCATAACACTTAACCAGGTATTGAACTCACAACTCTTTGGGTCCTGTCACTGGATCTAACCAACGCCTGTATCCACTGTGCCATGTGCCGAATAATGTAAATTGTGTACATAATAACTCATCTCAGAAATATAGACAGGATATCAGATGTAACTCGAAGAGAGAATGGCTTACGGCCATATCACGTTGAAACATTGGTTCTCGTACGATTACCGAAGTTAAGCAACGTCGAACCTGATCAGTATCTAGATGGGTGGCCGCTTGGAAATACCAGGTGCAGTAAGTTTGGATGTGCGAGTGGTGCTAATAGCTCGGATTTAGAAATCAGAAAGCCATGTTCCAATTCCTATCGAGTTTGTTATATTCACTTATGCGAACCACCTCTTCTGTAACCCCCCCCACCCGCTCAGCTATGTGTTAATTAGTAGGACTTGTATTCATGAATCATTATTATCTCCCCTCCCAATTTTTTACAATCTAAAAATATTTTCTGTCTTTAAATAACCTGTAAAATTTCATAAGTAGTAAAATACAAATCAATCGATATACAATCGAAGAGAATATAATACCAAAATCAAGATGCTAACTTTTCCCATCACTTCAAACTGAGATTGGGAAGAATCCTCCCCACTGTCAATACTGGCAAGAACAATAACAAATACTGGACTTCAGAAGCCTATTTTCTTGGAAAATAGTTTTAATAGATTTTCTTTTCAAATTTTAAACGATAGTGGCACCGGCTGCTTGGTCATTGAATGTTTCCTTATAAAGAAACGGTTAATGTTACCCTTAGTATTAGAGATGAGGAAAACAGATACTACTCTTTGATTCCAGCCTGATGACCAGAAAATGAACAAAAGCATAAGTTGAGGTGCAATAGCTGTTCGGTTAACTGTTAATCTTACAATTAATATTATCAACAGTGAGTTAATTTCACTCGCTCTTCATCGCTGGTGCAACGTACATGTCAATGGTTTGTTTACTACTCAGTCGGATATTCGAATTAGAGTTTAATTCAGTTGTTACTTCTTGTTGTATAAGAGTAAGTGTCGTTGCTGACACTCTGGTTTGAAACTAAATCGCCAGTGAGTAACACGGACGATTCCATTATTAGATAAGTCAGTTATGTGCCATACGTGATACACACTTAGGCGATCATGTATCTTCCGATACATAACTGACGAGGCAGTAGGTTGCCATTTATTTCTGCGGTGGACCAGTTTCCATCCAAGGCTGTAGAACCCGGTCTATATCCTGCTGCTTACCCATAGCTTTAGAGAAGAAGAGGATTCATACCTTTCCAAAGTAGATCACGTGATCATAAACGGAGTGAATAAATACAAAGTAGCTTGTTGACTAACTGATCACTATTTCCCCCCCCCCATCCGGGAAGAGAGGATCCCCAGACGAGGCTATGTCGAAGGGCAGAGTCTCGTCTCGGGAGAGAACTACCCGACCCCGTTTTGTACGGGGTCTACGGGGAATTTTCGGCCGAGCCTACGGGCTTGTATACTCCGCAATAAACTAGTCCTTGTGCCGCATCCTACCGCGTGGGGCGGTTAGTGAATATATCACTATTTCTCCTCCATCACTATACGGTTCACTGTTCACTCTCCCTTGTCTATCCACTAATGCGATACGTTCACTCTCTCTGCTACTATACGGACGACGGTTCTCTTCTATACTGATTATTATACTATTTGGCGATTACGACTTGAACCAGTATTTTTTCTTTCTTTTTAGGTGCCATGTCCTTTCAGGGCGTAGGCGACCATAGCTCTCCACCCCCCTCTATCCCTTGCAAGCTCCTTCTCTCTACTTCCTCACCTAGACCACGTTCTGTCATCCACCTGCTCAGGCTCGTCAGGTATGTCACGCACTGCTTTCCCTTGTCCCTCTTTCCCGTGAGTATCAGATTCTCTAGGCCCTCCTTCCTCATTGTGTGTCCCAGAAACTTCAGCTGCCTCTTTCTGATAACAGTATAAGCCTTCTCCTTGTCTGTAACCTCGTCGTTCCTCACATGCTCGGTCCATGATATCCTTAGCATCATTCTGTTGAACCACATCTCCGTCGTATCGAGTCTCTTCTTCATCTTTGAGGAAATCGTCCAACATTCTCTGCCGTAAAGAAGAACAGATGTCACCTAACAGCTCAGTATTCTTTTCTTTGTTACCAAAGAAATCCCCCTGTCTCGCAATACTCTACCCAGTTTTTGGAATGCCTCCTTGGCCATCCCAATGCGTCTACATATCTCAGTGTCGCACTTACCGTCCTCTGTCAAGACGCTTCCCAGATATTTAAACTTCCGCGTCTGCTTGATTCTAGTGTTCCCGACCTGCAAATCGATTTTCGGGCTCTTCCTCTTACTGATGACCATGCATTCTGTCTTCTTGTAGTTTATGCTTAGTCCCTTCTTCTCACTCTCCGTCGCTACCTTCTGTAGGAGATTTTGTAATTTCTCTTCCGTGTCTGTTAACAGTACTGTGTCGTCTACTTTTGCGAATATTATCGGAAGGCGTTACTACTACTTTACTCGTCTCGTCTACAACGAGCATTTTTGTAAGTGATAACCATCTTTCGTTGGACATAGCAAAAGTGTGTTATAGTGGAACACACCTATTCTATAGTTAATAGACTCTCCCACCTATAATAAGTAGGAGTAGTAAGAGTAACGAGGGAGTCGCTCAGTGGGTCGGTCAATCAGTCGATGCCGGACGACCGTTAGTCGGATACTAAAGTATCAGCGACCACAACTAGATTACTCTGCGTTATACAAATACAAGCCTCCACTGTGAAACCACTCCATAACACACTTGGCGACGAGGTATTCGGATTCATACGGTGGAGAAAAAAAATTCGTTCGCCACGTAACACATTTGGCGACCAGGAACTCGTACTCATACGGAGAAAAAAAAAATTCACCTGCCATAAGAAAGTGACAAGTGAAGCCGTCCAAATTATGGACAAAGAAATACACCTGAAAATTTTACGACATTCCTAGATGAATTTTCTGATGAAGCTTAATTCTTAAGTTATGATTAAATGTTCATTGCGAGTTCTACAAGTATAAAATACTTGTCGAAATTCCCCTATTGCATCGTTAATTATTTGAGCTTAACAAATTTAATAAAATATTAAAATAAAAGTCATAAATATGAATGCTGGTAATTATTTAAAGAAGAGGATACAAATGAAAAAAAAATTAAATTTGACAATTTTTTTACTTCACTGAAACAGGTGTTAAACACATGAGAATGTTATCGTCTCCTCTATCTTCTCTTTCTTTCTTTAGTTTTCTCACTGAAGCCAAATAGCGTCTCTGATATGTCTTTTCCGTCTTTCCCTGCGACCAAATCGGAATAGTCCATGATTTATGAGGCATTGGCAGGGCGTAACGGTTGTGCTAATTAACTAACAAAGGAATTATGGATCAAGCAGAATCATGATAGGATTCTGGTCATTTCGTCGACTCTGCATCGTATGCTTCAAAGTTTTGAGTTGTTTACCAGATAAGCAACGACCAGCAGTGGTTGTTTTCGTCCAAGCTTTCGTTAATGACATTTAGAACGTTTTGTTTTTTTTTCGCGCAAGTGTTCTTTCTTTTGCAGACCAGATGGATGTCTGCACGGATAGAATTTCCTTCCAATTCAAGAGACATACGACTTACACTGCCCTCGTGCATGTGTAATGGTCCCCAGGGAAGAAATGGCGTGGATGCAGATCAGAATAATTGCAATATATATATATATATATATATATATATATATATATATATATATATATATATATATTTTAAAGATTTTATTTTATTTCTCTTTCTTCTTACCATTCCTATTCCTTGTTTTCTCTGCGTCTGGTAATTTTTTTCTTTTATTTTTCTTTGTCAGAATAGCAAAAAATGTTCTGTTTACTTGGCAAAGATGTCTAGAAGCATATTTCTGTAGAGAAGTGCGGAATCTTATTTTTGTTGGCGAATTGATGTTGAATGTGTGTGGATTGGCATCTCTTGTTCCTCATCACATGTACCGCGGAGGAATACAGAGGCAGGTTGAATTTCGTAAAACTTCGTGTCATTATTTAAAATTTTAAGCGTCATATTTTATTTACTTATGAAGAATATGTTCTGCTCTTGAGTTGCACAATTTTATTTTTGGATATTATTTAAAATATTTAATATTCAATAGATATTTAACAAGCTTAGCTTCGTACGTTACATGTCCTCTACAAAAGTGTGGGCATTAAACTAATGGCATGGACAGAACATATGAAAGTTTTAAGACAAGAAATTTGTTCTTACAATGAAACAGAGACAGCTGAAATATCTGGGGCAGAATGAGAGGAAAAAAGCCCGAAGAATTTAACCGTCGCAGGACATACTGAAGGCAAAAGAAACGAGATTGGTAGGGAGTAACTCATTTAAAGAGGCTTGTGAGAATGGATGAGGAATGATAAAAGGTCAACAGTTGCTTAAAGCAGCAAAAGACGGGATATTGCGAAGAGCTATGATCGTCTACGATTCTAGCAAAGGGTTTCGAGACAACTTTGTTAATACGTCACAGAGAATTATATTTTTCTTAATTTATAGGGTAATAATATTATTTTTTTTTAATTTATAGAGTAATAAGCAGGATTCATCTTGAACTCCTTACACATGATTTACGAGGTTAGCTTATTGTAATGACAAAAGTGGACTTTAAGAAAGCTTTATTCAACTGAGAATACAAGGTAGTATAGTGTCCTAATATAGTACCAGTAAACAGAAATAGCTCTCTCAAAGAGGAGAGTAACAAAACAGGGGGAGACTACTCTTAATTATTCATAACAATTATATCATAAAGACGAGGCCAAACTTAGTTTGCTATGAAATAAAACGGGAAAATATAGAAACAACAACAGAAAACGTTATCATTATTATTATTATTATTATTTCCTTTGCTTTCTGTTATACGCATATTTCCTTTCGGGTCTCAACCAGAGACCTAATTTCAGAAATGGCTTCATGATATTTTCCACTGATCATTTTCGCAAAAAAAAAAAAAAAAAAAAAAAGAAAAAAAGCCAAACAAAAAAAACATTATTATTATTATTATCGGATAAATCTTAAATTTAAGCGTTCACACCGAAAACACCCATAAAAGAGAAAAAAAACCTGTGCAAAACATGAGTCAAGTTAATTCTATCACAAATTCAAAGAGAAACATCACGATTTCTATAGAGTGTGGCAATTGTACTGATTCCCAATTTAATAGACGCCGCCCAATATTCGAAACATGGCTTGATTTA